ATAATGGTGGCTGTCACTGGGTGCGGTACTTTCAGAAAAGGAAACAAAATCTGTGTTGAGTGCAAGATACACAGTGTATAATCAGCTTTACTCAAGCAAACAAACCTTTGGATCACCATTTCCACAGGCAGTACACTTCATTATGCGATGATACCACTAGAATGCCTAAAAAAACGCAAAGGATCGCACAGCACACAAAACACACATCTGTATTCGTTGATTACTAGTCTTCGTATGGATCCTCTTATTATTTAAGATGTATAAGCGATAGAAATGTTAAAAAAATACGACTGTATAGCGTTTCATCAATTTATTCATCTCCTATGTATTATTGATAATTATCCTCACCATTAATGTAATGTATGCTAATTGTCACGATTATAACAGAAATTTGCACAGCTAATTTCAATAAATGCAAAAAAGGTCATATTCAAAAATATGCAAAATATACAATTATGGCCGATATTATAGAAAATATTGAAGCTTTTTTTATGAATAATTAGTCATAGGATGTACGAAGTAATTTGTAGCATTTTTTAACACAAAAGTTGTCATAACTTGTCATAGCTTGAGTATATACCTTGACCAGATCTAATTACTATACAATGACTTCTCACGAATTTCAAAGTATAAATAGAAGGCATTTTCTAATATTTAACTCCAGATGGCCCTAATTATAATAAGATAGAAAAACATACTCAAGTCACACAATGGAAATGCAATGACACACATAGTTGTACTAAGTTAACCCAATGCAGCTATTTAAGAAGATTACTGCTCACAGTATAAACTGTGTTTGTAAACATTGAACTAATTTTAATACCATACAGTGACTTTACACAAAGGTCAAACATTAACTAAAAACAGTAAAAGCAAAGAAACTAAAAACTATAATGAACTTAAGATGGCACTGATTCCAATAAGATGAATTGTATATGTAATCACACAACAATGGAAAATTCCAAAGGATTTCAAAACAACTATTACACCATGGATTTTCTCGTTAAATCCTGATACAGATTAGTAGGATTGAATTTAAAAACATTAAAATTACTTTTCTTTAACTAAAAAGCTTTCACAACAATTACGTTTTAACTGAAAAGATAATTACTCCATATCTCATTATTATGCATGAAATTGGTTATTTTTATACCTTTGTTTATAATATATATGATTTTGAAACCGATCGAGTAAAAAATACTTGAGTTATTGCACCCGCAAGAGATAACCAATCTGTAGCCGTTGCATGTTTGTTTATATCATATATCATTTTGTAACTGATCATGTAAAAATTGGCAGCCATCTCTCATTAATTATGCTAGCAAAATGCACCAACATTGAACTTGGCCATCGTTGCATGTTTGTTTATACCATATATAAATTTGTCATCGATCGCGTAAAAATTACGCGCCCTCAAGCGAAAACCAATCAGTATCCATCTCTCTTTGATTATGAAAGCAAAATGCACAAACATCGAACTTGGCCATCTTTGCATGTTTGTTCATAACATATATATATTTGACACTGGTCGTGTAAAAATTACTTGAGTTATCGCACCCACAAATCACGCCAACAACAACAACGCCAAAATCTTCCCCTTACTGTACCTTCTCCTTCGTTTACACTACACTACGGACATAGCAAAAAAATAAGTAGTGCGCTCTCCTAGGACGTCACACTACCATAACACACACGATAAAGTAAAAATATGGTTGTGTGATATCATAAATTATGGTTTAGTGATAACACAATACAAGTACATTGTATCAGAGTACAAAAGCATCCATGAAAAATCAACGAAACCACGGAATCAAGTCACTTTTCTCCATATCTTGATGTCTTCCTTGAATTTGTATGTAAGGACAACTAATGGGATTGAGTAATTTATTTTTGCCTTGATTTGGGTTAGACGCACTTGCCATTGAATCAATAACACATTATATAGAACGTTTGATCAATGCGTTCTACAACAATGAAATGAGATGTTAAAAGATACAGACTCCAGGGGAGACATTGTTTTAGTAATGTAAATATAATTGAACCACACGTGCTTATTACTTTCTCATTTAAGCGAACCTGTCTAGAGAGCCCATAAACACACGACAATCGTTTCTATTCATTTAAGGTTACTATTATATTATAATGATGTGTTCCATATTCAACACGTATCTATTTTAACATTTAAACTGAAATAACCAAACTTACATTGACATAATTACCGACATTATGTAGTCTATAAAAAGAAATCACATAATAACTATGGCATTCTACAATGGAAAACTGCCTGTAATTGTTATATCTGTCTAATTATTGATGAAACAGGTCCTGTATTTGGTTTGTTGACATGCGCCCACTACTGACAATTTGTGACAAAAGTAACATGATAGTTCTTTGTGAAACATGCACATACTTTGGATAAAAATAACGCTTGTATTGTAATCTGCCAAACCATATATGAATTGTGTGTTCTATTCAAATAAATTTAAAATATTATTGGTAGACTTGTGTTCTATAGACTATCTGATTTGTAAATTTTTAAACATAATAATCTAATATTTGATAAATGAATTATCCACAATAGCGTGTGTATTATGCTTATATCAAAGGAATTGTTTGAAATACATGATAGTACCTGACACCCCTATGGTCAAATTGGTTTGGCTACATTGACACAATGCAAAATGGCTACACTTTAGTCGTTGATTCTGTGCGATTTGCTAACAATATAGCATGTAGTTGCGTGTTGTTGAGTGCCTGATATAATATTGTTTTCATTAATTAATGAGGTGCTAAATGTTTGAGGTCAGGGAATAACATTTTCTCACGGCCTGCTTTGGTGTGCAAGAAAGTTCTTGTTCCACGCTATATTGTTTAATATCGCTTATAAACAGGTGGTAGCATATGGTCAACACCACACAATCACAAAAAAATTATTATAACATCGTATAATGCAAAGCATACTGTATATTTAAAAAGGTCTAACAGATTTCAAAACATTGGTCTCCCCTTCGAAACTGAAGTCCAGGTCATACTAATTAACCCTCAATCAGTATGACAATAGTTCTTTAATTGGTGTCCTATTTACATAATAATCAGACAAAGTTGCTAAAATCATTTTCAAATAACTTTAATAAATCAGAATAAATTCGCATATTAAAACCCGGAAACAATGAAAGCACAATATTTTTCACACAATGGCACAGATCAGTACCCAAAAACTCTTAGTGGCTGTCCCGCCAAAAATATCAAAGTATGAGCCACAGTGTAGGCGATGTTTAAAAAAGTCAAAGGACTATTTTGATCCTACTTGATACATCAGCCAGCTGTCAATAGACTTCATTTGAATATCGAACAGACCAATTAATGGAGATGATTTTTGTAAATATCGTCATCTGTGTCAAAAACAAATATAAAGAAAATTATCCCAATTAATGAGTGCTAAAATCAAAATAATAGGAGCTCATGATTTAAAGAAAGGACTGATTGCTTTTTTTCTGTGAAATAATAGTCATAACTGAAATTAGTTACATTTTAACAAACATAAATTTGTGAAAATTATTTTATCTTCGGTAACACCGACGTCATTATCAATAGATTCATAACAACCAATCACATTTCCAATGCATGTGATATAGACATTCAGGAAATATTGAGTGTATTCATTCGACTGGGAAAGATGAATACAGTCGTTTACTTTCTGCTACTGCTCGTATCAGGTAATGTGTTGGGCCGAGAAAAGCCTCCTCATATTATTTTTATAGTTGTAGATGATCTCGGATGGAATGACGTTGGTTATAATAATCCCGTATTCAAGACACCTACCATCGACAGGCTTGCCGGTAGTGGAGTGAAACTTCTGAATTACTACGTGGCGAGCCATTGCCTTCCATCTAGAAATATGTTGATGACTGGAAGACATGCTGTGAGTTATAAATATTATTAAATTAACCGCACATATCTAGATGTAGAATATTTTTGTGATATTTTTCAGATAACAGTCGATATGCAATCACTATAAAGAACATTGATAATTGAGTAATATGCTTGTTTATATTTATTTTGGAAATGTAATTTGTTGATATATACTAATATTACGAAACTGACGTTGCGTTAACGGGGTTGTGTTCTATATATATGACGTACATTTCAATCTGCTCTTACAGATGAATGCGTATATTTGCATTTCCTACAACATAGTTTATGTATGCGTGTTACGAGCACACACTATATAATTATAATATATAATTATATATTTTGAGTTAGATATTCGTCTCTACCACCGTCACAATAGACGGATAAGAATGACTTTACTATAAACTAAGTTTCCTTTGCTTTTAATAATTCATATGTTTATGTGGATTCTGTCTGCCAACTGATATTAACATCAATTCCATATTTAAAAAATAAAAACACAGAACAGAAAAAAACTCAGATATCAGTTATACCTACAATTTTCATTTAACATACATTCGTTATTTTACTTCAAGATTCAACTCGGGATTCAGCACGATGATTACGGATTTCATCCTCGGTCGTTGCCATTGAACGAGACTACTATAGCAGAACCATTAAAACACGTTGGCTATTCAACCCATATAGTTGGTAAATGGCATTGTGGGTTTTACTCAGATAATTGCTTGCCTCATAACAGAGGATTTGACACATTTTTCGGTGAGCATTTCTGGATTGATTTAACTCTATCTTCGTATATTAGTTGTTGAAAACATACGTACTTCTTCCATAATGGCATTTTAATGTGTTTTCACTCCCACTGTGCCTGTCTCATATATTTACATTTTCCTCTAGTTTGGTCTTGTACTGTGTTTTGTGTGTCATTTGTTATTTGTTATGGTTTTTTTTTTCTTTTTGAACTATGAATGCCAATACCGTTTCAAAACTATGAAGTTGAACATCTTTTGAGTATGATGCTATTTACCCTTGACATACCATGGATGAGCAGGTTAAATAATAGTACTCCTGTGATTTATATTAATATTGAACCACTCAATTGGTCTAGTCAACCTTACGAAAAACTGTGGTGTTTAAGAATAATGCTGATGGCTAGGTTCTTGTAAATGTCACTATGTTATTGTAAATGAAACGAGGTTGTGATTAGCGATTTATATCTATATCATCATATTCATTATATGTATAATGGAATATGAGCGAAACGTGACTTTGGGCAAACAATTAAATACAACAATTTCGATAGATCACGTGATTGTACATACATTTTATTGTTGGTATAGTGTGTGTAAATAAGCTGTAGTTGTTTATGTTGATCGAATTTAATATTGTCATCGGGTAATGCGCTGCCGTAGTCGAGCTCATAAACAATACAATTCAAAATCGCACGAACAAGAAGAGCACGAAGCTAGAATGCGATTTCAAAAAATTTTACCAAAAGTCTGCGTTATATTTTACATTAAAAATTATCAAATAATAAATTTTCTTTTAATTAATCGTTCACAACAACGGCTTAAATGATCGAGAGTATACAAACCATAATCTAGTCAATGAATATATAATACCAGAGGTACATTACTTGGGGTTTGCAACTCGCATAGTACTGTATGGTGACATCATGTCAAGAACCCATTCAAGTCTCTTCTCGTAGATAGCGAGACTGCGGCTACGACCTTCTGACATGACATATATCAATGTTCAAGGTTTGTAATGAAAAAATAAAACTTTTCTTGCCACTATCATAGTGAAAAATGTAATACATCTAAAATGTACATAAAATATAGTTCTCGTAATCCATCATATCGTGGGCAGCTATTTTGATCCACCTGGACATCCCAGTATCCTAGTTACCTCGGGCATGCGCATTCGCATTTTTCTGAGTTGGAACGCTTATGCGAGTGCGAGATTGTAACGGGATCTTGGTATCATGTCACCGTAGTTGCAAACCCCAAGTAATGTACCTCTGATAATACTTGATACAATTTTATATTATATTTGTTTAATTATGCAATTCTATTAATAGGTTTCGTTGGAGCAGGTATAGACCACTATACGCACAGCGATCATTTTAATCATATGCACAATCTCAGAAAAAATGATGATTGCATAGCTAAGAAGTATATTGGTAAATATTCCACAACAATCTTTGCAAATGAAGGAAAGGATATAATTAATGCTCATGATCAAAACAAAGTAAGTTTGCATTATAGTAAAATAAAATACTATATATGGTCATTGTAGCCCATTGTATCAAAGGCCCTGTGCCGCCGTCCACTGATGGGCGGCGTCGCCCTTTGTATCAGAAAAATTTGACCCTCAAAATGCAGGACATAGCGTTTCAGAAGGTCAATATTTTAAAGGTTTTAAGGGGAGCATGCCCCTGGATCCCCTCGTAAGGTCGCGCTTTCTGCGCAAGCTTGGTGGGCAGATCTCGCCCCCTATGCAAAATTTCGTGTCGCCGCTTCTGTGTTCTTTTCCAATTTCGCTGCTCTCACAATTATGGTCGTCAGGTTTACCCTTCTCCCCAGCAAGCGATTTATGCCAGTTGACGGAAAATTTAAGTCAGATTCTGTTTGGATGCACAACATGTGAATGCAGTGAACTGACACATGTTCATCTCTTCGTATCATAGCCACTGTTTCTTTACCTGTCATTTTCTGCGGTACACGCACCTCTCGAGGTTCCGTCCTCGTATTTGAAACAATACGAGTCAACTATTCATGACGAGGACAGACGAACATATGCAGCGATGACATCATGTGTAGACGAGGCTATCGCGAATATCACTGAGGCACTTGAAGAGAAGAACATGTTGAAAAACAGTATAATCGTTTTCACTTCCGGTAATAAGTATTAAAATTAACTTATATACATACTTGTTTGTGATACAATCCTCTTATCACATTTATTCTTATCACATCTCGTCCATATATCACAATTTATTATAGACAATCGGTAGAATCAGCTGAACGAATTGACAATATCAGTGAGGATCGGAAATCATTGTTTTTCATCAAATTTTTTGCTTGACATTAGGTTTCCGTCGGAACATAATATTCAGCTAAACGTTCGTATACAATTTCAAGCGAGGTTCAAAATGTTTGTTCCTAATTTAGTGTTTGACTATACAACATTTCAGACAATGGCGGTGCGTTGGTAAATTCGGCTGGCAACAACTGGCCTCTGAGAGGAGGAAAGCATACGAGTTGGGAAGGAGGTGTGAGAGCTATTGGATTCGTTTATGGTGATTTGCTTCCTCGTCACTCACGGGGTACCGAGAATACGGGTCTGATGCATATCACAGACTGGTTTCCAACTTTAATAACATTGGCTGGTGGCAATCCACATGTCGGAAAGAAGCTATACGGAGTTGATCAGTGGAATATGATAACGTATGTGCCACACTTACGTATCAACCCTGCATTTTTCTTTTCATATGTGTAAATGTGTGAATAGTGTTTCCCGCTGTTGTTGTTGTTGTGCCAGTATTCAATGTGGGTAGTATATTTTATCGCAAAATTTAACTAAGGCATGGAAAACTACAGTGTAATAATTATGTAGTCATACAATACGAATTGCTTCTTCAATATCTTACAGAGGGAAAGACAAATCTGGGCGCGACGATGTGTTGATTACACTTCAAGAAGATTATAAAGCAGGTGCTCACTATAGAACTGGTATATATAAGAATAATGCGTTTGACATAACAACACATGCAGCGATAAAAATGGGAAAATGGAAGTTATTGACTGGTCCAATTGGAGGTGAGCGTTTTTCTTGTCAATATTATCCGTTTCCAATATTTTGAGTGCAAAATATTTATATATACGCAGATAAACCTTCCCACAAAAGAAGAGTTAGTCACTGAACTAACTCTTTTACGCTCAAGCAAAAGAAGAGACATGTGAGACATGTTGGAGAACTCGCATTGCACGAGTGTTTTATTGTGTTCAGTTCTAATAACACAGTTTCATCACAAATAAAATATTAAAAAGGAAAACTTCAGACCTCCACATACAAAAATACACACACTATTCTATTTAATTTATGTTATTTTATTATATTTTCACTGAATTCATTAAAACTAATTTGCTATATATGTTGTGCAGTATTTCGCTTGATTTCATTGGATTTTTATTTTCACAATGAACAGGCAAAATAAAACTGCTATATGAGTTATATAGCAATTTAAAACACTCAATTTTAGATTATCTAATTTGCATAGTTGCATCAAGTAAGGAGAGAACCAGTCACTATAGTTGAGAAAGAGGAAGAAGGAAACAAACGAGAACAATAAATTTTGTTTCTGAAAATTTTAAATGAACAAGATTCAATTAAAATACACTACATTAAAAAGCGTCCGCTGTTACAAAAGTCCAATCCAAATAAGATCGTGATCTTAAATTCGATTGTTACCGTATACACATTATTTTGTTGGACACTATTTCATTTTCAGATTTTACAATCCATATCTTTATATTTAAATCTGTTTCAAAAAATGAAGAACTTATTTTAGAAGCATAACCATAGAACGACTTGAACTGGTGTCGCAGTTTTCTCCCAATACAAATTGAAATATTGCCAACATTAATTAATATTAATTCCGCGAAATAATATTCAATGTCTAGTTCTTGGGATCTACACCAAAATGGAAAACAGAAATCATTTCGGTGCCATGTTTTCATTTTGATCAGAACCAAAGCTTGTCATGCTTCAGCGTAGCTAAACAATGACAACCAATCAACACATCTCCAACCCACCCACCCCCACAAACATTCATAATTGAACAACTAAGAAAGCAACAAATATCAGGCTACAACCAGAAAACAATGAGATAGAAAATTACAACGAGGCATTGAAAACATGAATTCCGCCCACCTCTACCAATGCACCCTACAGTACAGCATTAGTAGTTCCTATTCTAATTTGTATGTATGTACAGCAAGCTTAGCCAATAGATGCACGCGACTCAACACATTTTTGACCAACCACTATTATACACATATTTACATAGAGTGAGGGCGCCATTTACTAATGAAAAGGATATTTATATTTTTATTTTTTACATTTTTTGTCAGGACCAAGTGATTGGGTTAAACCCCAAGAGATTAACTCCGATCATAGAATAATAGAGGATCCTGATTTCGACGCAACACGTATAGTGAGACTATATAACATAGAAGACGATCCAACTGAGACAACTGATTTATCAGAGATAAATCAGCATATTGTGATTGAAATGCTTGCAAAGCTTCATAACTTTTCTAAGCAGTCCTTGCCTGCCCAGTCAAGAATATATCCACGTGCTGATTTTGATGGGATGGGAGAATGCATAAGTCCATGGGTATAACGAATGGCACAATACATATCATTCATGTAATATAGCAGTAATAGAAAAACAAATAAAACACTAGGTTCAATAGCAAACCTATGTTCTTACATTCATTGTTTTTAAATATATCGTGTGTCCAACATACGATATGTATGTTAGTTCGAAGCATATGCTTGATTGTATTGTTTTTATTTGACAACAATATATATATATATATATATATATATATATATATATATGTATATCACATGAACCAACAAGATGTGAGCTTAATTTTGAAAATCATGC